TGCAGAATTTTCTTTCAAGTCTGAATACAAAGGGGGAGAATGTTAGGACTGAAAAATCAGTATTAATTGTATTCGTCTTGAAAGATTAATTTTAGTCTATAATTGTAAAAGTCAGCGTGTTTGACTTTCTTAGACTAGTTTGACTTTGACTTTGACTTTGTATTAACATGTTGACCATATAAATAGGTTGGTAATTTTTGTAATTAGTAGAAAGAGGAGCTAATTGTAATATACATTGATAATAAGAGGTTTGACTGAATTGAGAGGATTGACTTTCTCTCCCAATATTCATAAAGTGTTCTTGAATGTTTATCTTGAATCTGCCATTGATGTGAGCTTAATATGAAGAATTGATCAGTGATTGTGGACACACAACATGCAATCAAATATTTCATCGAAACTTTGATGCATTTCGAATTGTCTTTTTATGCATTTGAGAAGTTGTATGGCCACGAAAATAGAACGTTATATGATTTGAATGTTTTAATGAAAATGTTTTACTGAACTTAAATTTATAAAATTAAATAATTATATGTTTTATGTAAAAGTATTACAATAAGATGATAACGTTCTTTGATATCTTAACAAGTTCTTCTTAAGATATTTTTAAATAAAAAGTTCTATTGATCATTTTTATATTACATTATTTAAAAAAGTGTTTTTTAAAAACAATTGTTCTTTAGAAAAGGTGTGTTTACAGTCCCCTGTAAAAAAGACTAATATAACATTTTATTTCAAAAATGTCTAAAAAACAACTTGTAATTTTTGATAGCTCCCCCCTCCAGATCAAGATAAAACACTAAAACGCTAAAACAACAACAATGAAGCGTTCGGGTAGGAGGAAACCTCAACTACCAGAATCCAAGGCACCCCGAGGGGAAAGAAAGAGGGAGACAGAGAAGAAGAAAGAAGAGAAAAGAGGGAAAAGAAGAGAAGGAAGAAAGGGAAAAGAAGAGAAGAGGGAAGAGGAAGAAAGAGAGAGAATGAGAGAAAGAAAAAGAAGCCAACCACAAGGGAAGGGTCCAGCCACGCCAAGCCAAGCCAAGATCGGGAAACAAACGGGGAAAAACCACAAGGCCAGGAAAAGGGGCCTAAAAACAGGCACACCCTAGACCGCACCGAGAGAACCAAGAGAGCAAAGGAGCTCACACCACCAACACACAACACAAGAAGACAAACGGCTAAGGGAGGTTCCAGGCAAGCCAAGCCGGACAACATTAGGAGAGGGCTTGAAGGTCAGGCAGAGCCTGGACCGGACATCATCGGTAATCGTCTTCACCACCATAATATTCGATCTTCTTTTATTCTTGAAGATGCGGTTATTCCTTTCCTGCCACAGGTGGTAGACTGTCTCAGCTAGCACTAATCTATGAATAATACACCAGACGGTCTTTCCTTTGGTGGCTTGCTGGAACATACTAATAATATCAGCCCAGTTATCCGGGACACCAGTGAGGTTAAGCTTAGGCTTTAAGCCATTCCAAACCTGATTAGGAAACATACACTCAAAGAAAAGATGAGAATGCGAATCAGGCCCGTTTTGACAGAAAGCACAAGACAGGTTGGAGTGGCCCTCCCAGAACCGAAGCTTATCATGCGTCTTGAGACGCTGCTTGAGGGCAACCCACAGAATAAGAGCATGTCTGGGAATATTTTGAGAAAACCAGACCATATGATGCCAGGAGACATCAGGCTCGTTTGGCCGGAGGGAGAGCCAGACTTCATTAACGGAGAACGAAGTGAGACGGCCATCACTGGTTCTCCAAAGGAGTTTATCAAGGGTAGCCGGGGAAAGGACAGGAAGAGGGGAATTGCGGATTAAGGGGTTGGGGCTGTCCCTCAGGAGAGGGCAAATACAGCCTAGCGTATATCCTACTATAGAACACAACGTGTTTTTTAATTAAGTAATATAAAACGGTTATTAAGCTTTATACATATTTGACGTCTCATAGAAGTGATTTTGTTGTAATGCTTGCACTCGGCTTCGAGATTTTTACGTAGACTAGGTTTGCAGGTTTCACTTAGGATTATTGATCCGCTGAAGTTTCCCTCTTGCAACTTAAATCGAGCCCGTTTTGATGAGCGCCCGGCTTCTAACGATTACATACCGAAGCGGTAGCAAACGGATCGATGTCCCGCAAGTTTTCTCCTTGTCACTTTCGGTGAACTTTCTCTATTATGTTTCGGACACCTCATCGGCAACTTCGCTTCTGATCGTGGGCTGGGATTCATCGAGATAATGTTGATACACATATGAAGCAAACCCCCAAATCGCCAGCACGGTGGCGACCACCTTCATCCCGTTCATCTTTTCATGGAAGATTATAATCGCTAGAATTGGGATTATCGGCAACGCCAAAGTACTGATCACATTCGAGAAAAGTGACGATACTTCAAAGATCAAGCCGACACCACCGATGGTTGCAATCTGCCATGCGACCGCAATGCAGATCATGATGATCAAGTACATTATCTTCCCTAGTTCAAAACTCGCCATTTCTTTCCCCAAATCGTTCCATTGGCCGCTAATGAATAGCGCCAGAATCGTGACGATAGACGCGACTAACGACTGGTAGATGATCATATTCAAAACCATATTGAAAGTTTCTCCTTTTAGTACTTTCTGAAATGATAGTTGCGTTAAAGAAAGACCCAACGAATAAAGTGCAGATGCGATAACCGTTGAAACGAATCCCAGTTTTAGGTGTCTTTTTCGTGAAACACCCACTTGATTTCCTTCGGAATCGCTTTGGAGAACCAGTAAAACCGTAGAAATGGTGAGAAGAACTAACGAGTTAACGATCAATGGTGTTAACTTCTGGGCGTTTAGAAAGAAAGCAAAGAAAGCATTGAAAGCGAGCTGCATGGTGCTGATGAGCGAAAAAGTCGATAATGGAAGGTAGAATAGTCCGACGGAATACAAGATTCCGGTGAGGGATTGAAGTGCTCCTAAAGAAACATAGATCGCTAAAAGAATGAAAACAGAAGGCGGGTTCGTCCTAATTCTATCGTTTTCTGTCGATTGACGATATGTTAATGGTTTGAAGTGAAGATAGAAAGGGATTAGAATCGGGAAACCCACAGTTTCGACTAGTGATGTTAACCAAACACTTTTTCCTCCTTTGTTGTAGTAAAGTCTTCCGAGCAGGGTAGCAACGGTTTGGCCGAAGAGAACACAGAGCGTGTGTGCCGCCATTCTCAGCCACCAGTTTCTGTTGGTGGTCCTGAGAGGAGCCACGGCAGTGGTGGTGGCGGTGGCAGCATGTGGTGGTGCTACGGGGGTGAGAGGTGATGCTGACATTGGAAAACTGAAAATGGATTGGTTTTGGAAGTGGGAAATGGAAGGAAATAACTAGTGGTGATGATCAGTACTGATCACCATGTTTTGTACATGACATAACTAGTTGTGAAGATGGGTGGTTGGAGGGTTGATGGTTGTTCTCGGCTATAGGTATTAAGCCTGTTCAAATTCATGCTTTTTGTACCCTTTGGGTTTGTGATCAACACTTTGGGTAACAAGATCGGATCCGCAAACCGGTCGAACCGTTCGTTTTGTAAAAACCTGTTTCGTTATACCTATTGAACGGGTAATTAATGATGACGGGTTTTGATAAGGATAAAGAAACCTGTAGGTTTATATCAAAGACGGTTAAAGTCTTATATAAGTTAAAGTTTGCACTTTTTTCTTTAGTAATAGGTTGAAACATCTCTTCTCTTCTCATGGATTCTTTTGAAAATAAATTGAAAAGGGATCTACATATTCTCATAAAAACGATATGATTCACATGCTTGTGTAAAGGTTTTTCTAACCGACAACCTCCAAGATGGCATATACTACTCTTTCCAACGCATCATGTGAGATGTAAATCAGGTTCACAATTGTCTGCTACTTATTTAGCTTAAGAGTCGAGTGTCCACAAGGACGCTAATCCCAAAAAAATTATTTCACAATACAATAGTAGCTTGTTAAACTGATCTCTCGCTTGTGTGTGCAAGTATAGCACAACCTTAAGGGGTTAGTTCACTGACAATAAATTTAGGCTTGGGTATTTGGAGCTCCTCCCCATATGTAGGGGGGTCTCTGCAGGAGGGCGGGTTGGGCGTACGCTCAGGACCCGCAAAAAATAGGGGACCCAATTTGTTTTCAGTATATAGTGGTAATTTAAAACAATTAGTAAAAGAAGAGACAATTTTTTAGTATTTGTGACTGGTGAGGACTCCAAAAAGAATTTAGCGTTATACTAAGGCCCTATACATGTATTAATTCATTATGTTAGAGATGGAAATATGTAAAAAGTTAATTGGTCCTTTATTTTATTTCATTGCTTATTGGTTATTTAGGTTTTTTTGTTTAGTATCGAAGTTTAAAACTTTTGCCTAGAAACCTTGATATGCTCTCTATCATAAAAATTTCAAAACTACCTTTGTTTTTTTTTTCCATACATTATTGACTCCTTATTACCTAATACGAGTGCATGAATATTAATACTTTCTTATTTCTTAAACAATAATAAATTTCAAACTATAACCAACATGAACTTTTGATTCTAAGATTGGTGGTTCCAAAATAGTTTGTTTAATCCTAAAAGTTTAAGATGGTGATGACAAATATTAACATGATGTGAGATAGAAACTCAACTGATTTATATATGGCTCCGAATAGTCAACATTTTGACCGGGGTTTGATGTCAATCTATATATAAAGGTACATAATAAAATATTTTTGACTGTGGAATGGGTTAACGATGCTATATAAAAATGATACAGGTAGATAATATTAATTTATAAACAGTTGTTGATTGTTTTTGCGTTAAGGAATACGTGGAAAAAAAGTTTTATATGAATTACTGTTAAATTTTGAATTCAATAATATTTCTAATGATAAAAACAATATATTGAAGATTTCTTCGTATATATCGATGACTCTTTTTTACTTATCGTCCAGGGCGTATAAAATGTATACGAACGGGTCTGTCCATATGTCACGGGTTCGAGTCCCTCAAAAGTCATCGGGGATTTTCCTAACTATTTTCTAGAACCCCATGAGATTGGTTGAGGTACATGCAAGCATGCTGCACACTTACGTTGTGTTCTCGAATTTGGGAAAAAAGAAAATAAAAGAAAGAGAAGGAAAAGAAAAGAAAGAAAAATAATTTTGTTTATTTGTTTTCTTGAAAGGGATGTAAAAGAAAAGAAAGAAAGAAAATTCATGTTCTTGAACAGCAGTAAAAGAAAATAAAAGATGTCATTTTTATAGATATACCTTTTTAAAAATATGTCATTTATAATGAAAGATTGGGTAGTTTTCTAATTTTTATAAATTTTTAAAAATGTTTTAATTTCTTTCATTTTATTTCCTTTCCTTTCTTTTCATATCTGGAAGGATAGTTTTGAGAGGAAATTTATGATTATTTCCATTTTGTTTTCTTTATTTTCTCTCATAAAATAATTTCGAGAACACAAGCTCTTTTTATTTTCCTTCTCTTTCGTTCGTAAAAAATGTTGCGAAAATACAAGGTTAAAGTTAAAAAAATACTGTAATGAGTCAATTGGGTTCAACTATACAGAAGAACGTTTTATTTTTTATATCACAGTTCTTGTGATGTGTATGGTATGTATCAGGTAACACCGTTACATGTTCAAATTAAATAATATAAATCTGTTGCTCTGTTCTTGAGTTTGCTCATATCGGTCATCAATTCGAGTTACTCACAGTCAGTTATGGTTTATCTGATTATTAACCTCGATGCCATTAATTAGTCGAGTTCACTAACCCGAACATCCACAATTATAAAATACATCTATCATTCTTTATAACTTTGTTTGATTACTAAAATCCCTCTAATTAAATACTATAAACGCCCAAAAACTTGCGTAGATTTGTTAGAATTTGAAGTCATCTAAAACGTATAAAGTTAATGCTTAAATACCAAGACTCTTGATTCTATACATTCATGTTGGTTTTCGTTAAAACAACTGACATTTGAAATGTGATTTTCAAAATATATTATTTTTAATTCAATTTGATGGATATGGAAATGAGCTCGTACAAATGAATTCTCCGTATTTTTATTTATGTTTGTCCCAAAATAAATATATATTTTGAAAAAGAGATAACTAAATTTTTAAATCTACTCTTAACTAATGCATAAATACTTACGAGTTAATAAGACTAGTTAATAGTTGATAAGTAAACTGATAAAATAAAAAAAGTTTGACTAAAACTAATTAAAAATGTAAAAAAATAATAATAACTTTTAACATTTCAAAATATATTTAAAACAATTAACTAATTAATATAATACGCTAATTGGTACAAATAGAGATGGAAAATTTGGGTACCCGATCCTAAAGGGGCGGGATTCTCCGCTTTGAAAGGTAACACGGCAATGATGGGGGTTTATTTAATTTTCATACCTGAAACGGTGTTGGGTCGGAGTCGGGATGGCATTATCTGCCCCTATTAAAATTTTTTGTTAAATAAATGTATATAGTGTGTATAAATAAATAAATATATATGTATGTACGTAAACTTTTAGCATTAAAATGATAAATATATTTGATTTCAATATTGATAATTAATATTGTAACGATTCCATTACAATTTAATTTTAAGTTACATTATTTTTATTTTTTTTAACTAAAAGGGTAAGCGAGAGGTTCACTAAACTCACAATGGATTCCTTTCCTTCGAACCCATTAGCGATTAGTCAAGGCGGGGTTGGGGAAGGGTTTAAATGGGTTAGGGGACAGAGTGCATTACTCGTCCTATACCTACCCCTGTCCATCCCTAAGTACAAACCAAATGGTAAAAAGAAATATGTTAATTAATAAATTTAAATTTGATTTATTATATATATGTATAATATTAAAAAATTTGAATTTGTATGACTAATTTTTTTTTAATATCTATATTAAATGATTGTTTTAAATAGCTATTTTATATAATATAGAAGGGTACTCGTGCAATGCATCGAAGCACATTTTTATTTCAATGTTTCCTTTTATTTTTTATCCATGTGGATATAATATAATTTTATTTGGTTTTGAGAAAGCGATAATGTTTTTATTTTTGAATAAAATATAAATTTAAAAATATCATATAAAATTTATAAAAAATATATCAATATTAGTATCAAATTATGTAATTAAAAGTTCTTGTATGTTTATTTTTTTAATTCAAATTTTTTGTTATAATTTAATTTAACGTAACAAATTAACTTAATTTAAATTTAACAATATTTATTTATAAAGATAATAATTAAGTATTCTGTTAGAACTCAATAATTATTATAATTATATTTTAGATTTTTTATATATTAAAATGAGATGTTTATTTTTTATTTGATTATGTTTATCCGCAGTTAGTTACACGAATTCAAAAACTTTAATAAGTTGTACTTATCACATTTACTTGTAATTTTGAATTTTAAGTAATATACATTAATAAACAATATTTTATGCATAAAAAATGTTTTTAAGAGTTTTTATCAAATGTTTTATAATATAGTATAGATAGATGTATTAACTAAAGATAAAGTTGTCATTTGATTAACTAAAAATTATGATCACTTATTTTTAGGATGGAATAATATATCTTTAATAATTTATTGTTTTAATAAAAAAAAGTATTGGTATAAAAGGAGTTGTAGTTATTCCAACGTCAGATAAATAGTCGTCAAACATTATTATTTTTAAATCAGAAAACATCAAAACTAATATCAGTGAATTTGGTTTTTCAAAAAACATAAACAGTTATTGACCATTGTTTTCTTTTTTATTGGATTTAGACTTATAGAAAACACATATAAAACATCAAAAATAGAAACATTTGATGATGACACGTTATTTTGAGTTCACGTACATAGTCGAATCAAGTAAACTTTTTTATGGAAGATTGACGTGATTGATCATAATAAAATTGGATAACATCCACCAAAAATGAATTCTTAAACCAAAATTGTAACCATAAAAATATCAACTTATTCATTGTCTGTTATTTAGTTTCCATCTTTTCTGCAACGTAAACAGAAAAAAAAAAAAAAACAAAGAAACAAAAACGTTAACAAACAAGACCAGAAGAATTCTTTTTCCTTCAAAAATCATATACTCATTGCTGAAGATGTGTGCTATCGATGTTAGGATTTCTATAATTTTGGCATGTGTTTTGTGTGAGTTAATATGTTGCTTATAGTTTGGAATTTTGGTTTCTACTTCAATTTGTAATCCTCAATTTTATACCTACACGATGTTATATATATATATATATATATATATATATATATATATACTTGGGATCAT